TCAAGAAGAGAAGTACTCAACAATTGAAAAAGAATGCTTAGCCATCAAGCTAGGTGTGAAGGCTTTCTAGGTATTAGGGAAGCAATTCCAAATTCAAACAGACCACAGCACTTGTCTGGCTTAATAACCTGAAGGGCAAAACATCTAGATTACCAAGTTGGAGTCTTGCTCTGCAGCCATTTGATTTTACAATAGTCCATCGACTCGGAAAGGCCAATGCCAACACTGACGCATTATCTTGTGCTGCGTCAAGTACGAGTACTTGATGCTGGGAAAGGAGTGAGTGTCATGGAACTGTATAGAAACTGGATTATTACCATTAATGTATATTAATTAATTAACCAATTATTAATAATTTGTACATATATAAAGCCAGTTGGCCTTATTTGAAAGAGAGTTTTTTGTTATTCAGCTTGTCTCTAAGTAAAATATTTTTAAAAATTCTTGCGAGCTGTGTCAGATATATATACCGCTTTGTGTGTGGTCTGACCATGGTACTGAAACAATTGGGGTGTGGAGCTTCATGGAAGAAGCTCGAGGAACAAATTGCAACTCTCACATTGCTGGACAAAGTGTACACAATTGTGGTATTGAACATTATTGGAGGGATGTGTATACTTCTGTGACAACCAGTTACGTTGTAGTCTTCACACTGCTGGAACAAGTACTGTTGGATCTGGAAAATGAAACTGATTTATTCTGCCTCCACTATATCTTTATTCCACGCATTAACCACTCTCTCAATCTATTTATGCAATCATGGAATAATAATTCATTATTGTCAGAATGCAATAGGTACCCTGCAGCTGTACACAGGTGGTTCCATTGGTAATCCATTGAGCAGGAGGTTGATTTAAGTGTACATATTTCGAGATGATGTTTTTTTTGGATGAAGACGCAGATGAGTCTATTTTTGTTCTATCTGTTGACATAGGCCTTTCTGATGTGGATTTATTGTTGCCTTATGACATTGTTATTCTGATGTGGATTTATTATTGCCTTATGACATTGTTAATTCAATGGTGTACAGCTTTATAAAGATGCCACACAAATAACTTGCCATGTGATGCAACAAACGTGACTATTAACTCTGAAACTTTCAGTGATCAATTTTTCATTAATAACAATAATTAATAATTATAATACAGAGTATTAAAAATTAACTATAAGTGATAACAAGAGTAGATAATAGCAAGAGTACATGATGTGTTAAAGAGAGTGTCTAACCATAGTACTGTAGGCTGTTACATCACGGTGTAGAGTGTTCTGTATAGTTTACATAGTCACTTTAGCACCTTCTTTACATAATTAACAAGAGTGTCCATTTTGGGTGTAGTATTTAATAAAATGTTAGACGCGCCCCTTCATTGAAAAGCCTCTTGTGACCTATAACTAGGCAAGTACTATCTCCAAGTGAGCAAAGTGAGACTGAGTACTCCTCTAGGTTTAGGAAACAATCAATTTTTTCTACTATGGCCGGCCATATGCTATGGCCACAGCCCCCAACTAGAACTACCCCGCCCTTTAATTATTAAAGTTATCTGATGAATGGTTTTGTTATGTAAACTTTAAATATGTAAATTTGTGTACTCTTGGAAATTAGCTGGATACTCGTAAAACACTCTACGCCATGATGTAGCAGCCTACAGTACTAGGTTAGACACTCTCTCTAACACATCATATACTCTTGATAATAGTTAGAGAGTGTTGAACTGTACTATGTTAGCTTGAATATGACCGCTCAGAACTAAGTCACGTGAGACCTAAAGCAAGGGTGTATCTACTAAAAGCATGTGTAGACATTTGCATAAGGAACAGTGGAGAACACTTGAACAAGCTTTAGACATTATAGTAGTACACTTTATAATCCTGCTGAAGCCTGTTATGCAGTACAGCTATAGCAGAGACTCCAAAACAGCCAGTAAACCTTGTTGAGCAAACTAGGCAGCCATTTTATTCTCCTCAGCCACACCCAGTATGCGGGAATGCCCAAAGATGCGCAAGAAAGTTCTATGCGGTCATATTCCAGCTAGCATAGTGCAGTTCGACACTCTCTCTTACTATCATCTACTCTTAGTGATAACAAGGTGACAACTCCCATTAAGACATCTCAAACATTAATTTAACATCAGATATTAAGGTCTGATAACAGACTCTAATTCATTATGGGATTCCAATTTCTTCTATTGGACTCCAGTTTGTTATGTCAGACTCAAATTTATCATATCAAACTCCAGTTTCCTATGAGCAGTTCACTACATTATATCGGATTCTAATTTACCATATCAGAGTCCAATTTACTATATTAGATTCTAATGTATCATATAGGAGTCCAATATATTGGACTTCAATTTATTATACATAGGAGTCCAATTTGTAATATATCAGATTCTAATTTATTCTATAGGAGTCCAATATAAAGTATACTAGTGATGTAGATGAAAGGAGCCACGAGGTCTGCTACTTGTAATAGCAGCCCTCTCTTCAGGTCTATTATTGTCATAGCAGATCTCCCCTCAGGTCTGCTATTGTATAACAGACCAGTAAGAGTAAATTAATAATAAATCACGTTGATAAACATTGACATTAATTTTAAATGGTGAAATTGAGAGTAAAGTTCATAATGAATCACAAAGATTTTAAAGGGTAAAATTGAAAACACACTTAAAGATTTTGCCACAGTTATGCACA